CCCCAAAACCCCAAAACCCCAAAACCCCAAAACCCCAGCAATAAGAAAATCAATTGATATATTATTTCTCAACCAATTATTACTGAAATGAAAGGTAAGGTCCAGGGAATAACTCTAATTTAAAGCAAGTTTTGAGCTTGCTAAACATAATATATAACCCAACACACTTCTTTAGCATTCCAAAGATGTTATCTGAAATTAAATTATAGGAGGACAAAATAATCCAGGCCAAGATGAATTCAACAAAGGTAATATTTTCAGCAGAAAAGGCTGATTCATATTTAGCGCATGACTTTGATAATCCTTATGGCATTGACTACTCGAAAGTCAACAATAATGAGATCAACAATCCATATGGTACCTCTGCCACAAGTGGTTATCCGCCAAGCACAAGCTCAACTGGGTCTTATCCCAATCATTACGGTGATGATTTTAGAACTTTCGAAACCAGTGGGCAAAAGCCAGATCAAGAAAAATATCATAATTCTGAAATGAGTTCTAACTATGATGCTTATAATGATCAGTTAAATCAACCGAATCAAAATTTTGATGCAATGCATAACCAGTATAATCCTTACACTCCTCAGGAAAATTCCCAAGGTTTGAACGGAGAAGGATTCAATCCACATTCATTTGGATATCAGGAGCCTAGTAAGATTGATATAATTTTGTAGTCCAGAATAATTCTTATATGGGTACAGAGGGACCAGATCCTTCAGGTCTAAATCCATATTCTTCAAACTTGTTAACAAAACCCAAGGATTATAAGCCCGAAGCTAAGTCTTATAAGAATGTGCAGATTCATGAGAGAGCTAAAGGTGTGCCTGTCTTACTTAGTATAACTAAGAACCAAAGGAAAATCTTGGAAAGGCAGATTATTTCTCTATACCCTGACATTCTCAACCCGGGTGAGGCTGAGAACGTTAAACATTGAACTTTCCTCTCTCAGTTATCAGGATTTGGATTAATATTCGGAACTCCTTACTCTCTAATCTTGTTCCAGAGAGCAACACAAGAAGCAAGTGGAAGTTCATTAAGGTACAGGATGATGAACAGGGCTTTCTTTCTCCAAATCCTGATTCTTGGGAGCTCCTACTACACATACAGGAATGCTGTAACTACTTTAGACAAGTACTCGCAGAAGTACCTAAGAAATTTAGGCGATGAAGAGATCATGAATTTTGAAAAGCAGGACCCGAAGATAATTAATAAAAAGGCAAATGGGGAATAGTTCAATTCAACCTGTTGATTTGTGTTGGGGTTTTGGGGTTTTGGGGTTTTGGGGTTTTGGGGTTTTGGGG